ACAAAGTTCAGGGGCCAAGGATGGGGAGACTGCCGGGCTGAAGAGCTCAGGACGGACAGGACGGAACTGGAACATAGCCTTTTCTAATCATCTACTGTGGTACCGACGCAAGTATATGAAGAATACGCACACTGCGGCCAGATCTGCTTTCGCCATTGACAACATCCTTCATGCGCGATGCCATGCTACATCATGCTCGATCCCCCAAAGCCTTAGCTGCCTTGACGGCCTTAAGCTCTGTAATACTCAATACTCTATCCCCTGAATCGCCCTCAGTTGACATAAATCCTTCATTACCCAAAATAGGGAATATACCTTAATTCCCATAGCTTGCATGTATTTGCCTCGCTTTTCCATGGACGTGGTGTGGTTGCAAGCAAGGCGCCTTCGGCTTCTCTGGGAGTGCCGCGCGCGTAGCCTGCACCTGCTGCCTGCCGGGTCTGTAAGGTTTGGTAGGGTTTAGGGATTTCAGGTTTTCTCTTGGGTTCAAACTTTATGCAACAACAAAAATGCATACAAATAATGAACTTGGCCCCAGCTGCGAGGCCCGAGCAAAGCTTGCTAATGCTTCCTGGAGAGACACGGTTTCTGTGTGCTTGAGCATGTCGCGATTCAGGGCTTGGTTTGGGCAAAAGTTTCGGAAGCTTAGGCATCAGTGTCGAGGGTCGACCTGTCAGGTCCTGGATGCTCATGAGTATCGTAACAAAGCTAAAGTCTCTTGTGCTGTCGATTTCCACAGCTTTCGAAGGATGCAACCTGTGCTGCCTCAAATCCTTTCATGGTACTGCTCGGGCAAATAGCACTTGGGTGTTCGAGGGGTCGGCATTCATGCTTTGCGGCTGTCGGGGTTTCGGCTTCGCATGCTTCTGCCCACGCCCTCCGATCATGCTCAGAGTTCACCAAGTCACCTGCCGTCAGCTAGCGAAGACAGCAACCGATCGTTTAACTGGGCTGGGCTCCTGGATGGGCCACACCTCTGACTCTGCCTTGCGCAGGGGCGCCGCACTTGTCCCAACAGGCCGAGGGGCTGGACTATTGATCATCGACCCCTGAGTGCACTCTGAATCTTGATGCAGACTTTGGTGAAGTGTACAAGCTTGGCCATGGGCTTGAGCAACTTCGAGACTGTTGAGCTGGCTCGCACTCTGGCAAACTTGCTTCTAGTGTAGCAACATCGCAATAGCCTCAAAGCAATCCGGTGCCCTAACATGACCAACAGCATTGCTGAACAAGATCGTGATTAGGGAGTTTCATTCGAATCAGATCTGCCTGGCAAACCCCTCACGATTCGGCTAATTGATTCAAGGCAATTTCAATGACTGTCAAAATCGAACGCTCTTTCTTGAATACCCAGTGCCCTCGCCTATCCCGACGAAGCTGCCCACCTGCAGCTCCTCCGCAGATAGGCGAGACGAAAGCACATCTGCCTGCAGGGCTGGGCTCTTCTCAGCGTTGACTCCTGCTAATTCTACTGCCGCTACCGCTACCGCTGCCGCTACCACTTCTCCTCCTCCTGCTGCCTCCTCCTACTCTCCTGCCCATACCCCCACCCCCTGCCCCCAATCCCTTCCCGCCCCTTGCGTGCCTTGGCTAAGGCATCGCCCGAGCGTCGATCGGAGATGGGCAGCTGAGTCTCAGCCAGAACGAGAAACCTCGGCCACTGAACACGTTGCAGTCTGAGGGTCCCCATTTAAGGTTCGTATTCACGCAGGTGACTTGTGCAGCCCCATGGCGAGCGTGAATTTTTCCTGAAAACTACCCTTTGAGACCTACAAGTAGTGCGTCCACGCTCTGGTGCCTTCGTCAGGTGCTCAAACAGCCGTGCAGGCGATTATTGTCGCTTTGCGGCGAGTGCAGCTATCACCTTCACCACCAACATCACCACAACCGTCATCACCATCATATTACAGTAACAAGTATCATAATCCTCACCAGAAGTCGCCATCAACAGTCCAACACGAGCCCAACAAGGATTTCCGACCGACGTAAGCCTCTGCAGGGAAGACAAACTCTTGCCCTCCTGATAAGTCACGGCTTCAACCTCCGAAGGGTCCAAGCTAGTGGCGCATTGATCAGCAGACCGGGGCAGTCAGCCATCAGGGTTTTCTGGCAAGGAGCTGGGATGTTGGAAGCTGGAGAAAAAACTGAGGGATTAATATTACAGAGCGGCGTGCCTGCAGGGGGGAGGCATGCAAAGCAACCCAGAACGACAAGTACCGAAAAGTATGCGAAAGTGTGGTGTGCAAGAACCGAGACCTTATGGCAGTCCCTTCTGTAATCTTAAGGCTTTTGAACCCAGGGACGCAACAGCTTTGGGTTCGGAGTTCGGGCATGTTCAGGAGTTGGATGTTGGGGTGATCGGGCTTACGAGCCTGTACTGTACACTGCTTGGGGTGTTGCGGCCGGAACCTACGGGATTTGTAGTTTAAAAAGAAGGTTCGTGAACTCAATTTAAAGGTAGTTCAATCCCACCACCTCAACGCCACCTAAACTTCATCGCAAAACATCGACCCTGCGGTATGATTCCTGAGACAGGGGAGCCCTTTTGCGCAAAACTCCTCCCCCTGCACGCCTGAACTTCCACTGTCAAGTTCTGCGTGGAGAGGAACACCTCCTCGCGGCGCCCAAGTGTCATCTACTCCCCGAAGCGTGAGGCCTAATTGTCAGAAAGCTATCGCATGGGCCATTACATGTTCGGTTCACCTCAACCTGAAGTATATCACGCCTAACCTTCCTAACCTTCCGAACTTACCGCAGCTTCAACAGTCGGGGCGGATGTCATTCAGAATTGAGGGTTTTGGGTTTCAGGATTTGGGCGCTTCGGCTTGGGAGTAATCAACCCTCCCTCAGGAGGCGACGGGCTGCAGAGCTTCTCCAGAGGTGAGGAGCTGAGGGCTATTGGGCTGGGGATGTCTGTGGGTTTGGGGGGCTATCAATGGATGCAGAAGGGTGCGATCAATCCAATGTCTCGACATGAACAGCCTAGCCGCAGTGCCTCATTCCCGAAGCCCAACATCTCATGCACCCTCAACTGTCCTCCAGCGGAGGGGGGCCAACTCCATCGTAGAACCGCCTCAGCTTGTACCTGCTCAAGTTGGGCTTGGACTTCAACCTGCCCTTGGCCTGGCAAAGCCAATTCAACAGACTAGTTAAGACGCTCCTTACTGCCAAAGACTGGGCTGTGAACCCATCGGTCCTCGTATCTACAGACTCAAATCTCAGCCGCTCGTCGTGACATGCAGTGGAAAAAGGAACTCCGGCAATGGCCGTCAAGTAAAGCTTCGAAGCGCGACGAGGCACTGTAGTTCGGCGCCCTCGAGGGTCCAGTTCTCATTTCCTGAGCGGCGGACTGGAACATGGGCCCCTGTTCATGCATCTGACGTTTTCCAAGTACCTCAATGTCCTAAGTGATCTAGAAACTCAGTCGGAGTTTGAGACTTGTGGAAGCAACTTCGAGCGTCCCCCACAAGAGATGCTTCCGGAATGTTCCGCAATGCCCGCCTAGACAGGTCCCACACACATTATGCTGACTAGATTCCTGGAGCCTTTCCAACACTTCACATCAAAGGATCTGCAATCCGTACTCCGCGAAGCCTAGCTCGGATGTGCGGCTCAAGTGGCTCGGGTGCGGCACCATGCAGCGATCCTTGGCACGTCTTAGCCAACACCTGCAAACTATACTTGGTCGTTACGATGGTCGCGAGCCCGGTCTGCGGAATGTCCGGAAGGAGCAGCACTTACAGCCCTTAAGACCAAGCACGACAGGTTGGGTAGCATCGCCCGCTGGCTGGCCGAGGCAGGGAACCGTCACAAGGATTCCAAACAGGGCACACCTGGAAGCAGATCTTTCCAGGATTCTCGATGCTCATGCTGGTGGCGATGATGACAATGGATAAGAAGGTGGTGATGACGTTGATAATGATAAAAGTCATTAGGACAACTAGGAGGGAAACTTGGCAGAGTTAACCGAGACATAGCTACCAGGTCCGAAAGCTTTACAGATTGGATGACTGCCCAGTACCCACCAGCTGAAAGAAACTAAGCCCTGATCGCGAAGGCTGTGCGAGGGAGTTTTATCGATAAAAGGCTTGCGGTATGAGACAGCCAGAGCCTGCACATCGGTGCCATGGCGGGCGCGACGCATGAGATCCCTTTGGAGCCTGCTTACAGTTCGGAGCCTTGGGGTCTCGTGGCCAAAGGAATAACTTGTGTGTACTACTGTGACTGCTTGGAATCTCTACAACCATTGTCGTGCCATGATTCCTTCAAGCAAGGAACGGATCTGTGCTTGGGAATCCGGATTCTGATGTAGGAGCAAGCCCTCAGCAACTGAAATCCAGCATTGGGCCAAGCAAGCTCGCCTAAAGCCTGAGAGGTGCGTCACAATCCCCCTTGACCTCAAACCCTTTCAAACACCGCGACACCGGTAAAAAAAGGAATCTGCGAGCCGAAGCTGCGACCGGATGGCGCATGGAAGCTTCAGAATTTCAAGGCAGTCATCCTAGCCAATGGGTACAAGGTACGTATGTCCGCAGGGAGTGAAATTAGCAATGTGCACGCCGCGCTTGCTTTCCAGCTTCAGTTTCAAAGGCTCCCAAAACTCAAAACCCTCGCACCATCATAGGATCTATCGCCAGCCCAGGCAAAACGGAAGTTCAGAACATCAGAAGACAATAGAATGTTCAGGCTCGAAGCAACAACAGCTGTACTCAGTCGTCAAGCATGCTACTTGTGGTAGTGCTCCTCACCATAGCAGTGGCCATGATCTTCGTGCTGGTTCAACTCAGAGTCATAGCCAGAAAGCAAAAGAAAGCCATGGCAGTTCTGTGGCTAGTCTCACTGAGCTCTGCCGCATCGGTGTCAACATGGAGCTCTGGGAAAGATGCTAGGCTGCTACGAATATCCTTTTGGGATGAGAGGCAGGTTTTCACACATCCTTTGTGAAATGTCAGTGCATGTCGTCATGTCAATATCTTTGGGAAATTCAACAGCACTCCTGCCTGTCTCCAGCTCCAACAACCTCCTCTCCAAGCAAGAGCGGTGTGCAAAGTGAGGACAGTCAGGGCACCTGCACGCATCAAGGGTGAAGACAGCTTTCAGGAGCCAATGGATTCTGATCATCATAGCTGTTCTGCTCCCGACCGCTTCCACGACGGGCGTGCTACATGTTCTGGGTCACCGTCGTAATCATAAGTAGCATCCTGACCATTCCATCGCCATCATCGCCGGCATCCTCATCCTCATCCCCATACTAACCCTCAACCTCCTCCTCCTCCTCACCACCATCATCATCAGCAGCATCATTCTCAGCATCACAGTCATAACCGTCATGACCATTGGTGGTACCAACATAAGAGCTGCAAGTATAAGGATGGCATGAGTCTGGCTAGCCAGTTGTCGTCGTACTGCTGCCAGTCTAACGCTTGCCTTCAGCCTTCAGAGATGTTTCCTCTGTTCTTTCTAGCCCGGATCTCGACGTGTCAGCGCAACCCATGCTGTGCCCGGTGACAAGCGCAGGTGTTCGTGTCAAGCCGAATGACTCAACATATTGCAAGGAGTGCATGTTCAGGTGGTAAAAGCAGATGCCAGTACTCCTACCTAGATGACTCCCAAGGCCTGTAGCGCTCATGCACCTCATCTTGCAACTAGCCCCTCAAGCCACAAGGAAGGTCGTTTCAACCCAGAGCTACCGAAACCCGAACCCTCATGCACGAGCGCCCATATCCCGAACTCGAGCCATTCCCTCCCCTCAACCAAGTTCCTCAAGCTCCTAAGTCAAGCCCTGAGGCCCCTGCGGTTTGGTCCATCGCCGACGGAAATGCTGAGGTTCGGGGCCTCGAAAAAGGGACTTTTGGTGTAACTTCGTAGGGCGCGGACTGCAGGATTGCACCTTTTTGGGGCTGTAGGCTCCAGTTTTTTGCGGTTGTCTCGGTGTAAGACTGTGGGCACTCTGCCGGCGTATATAATATACTATAATATAATATACTATAATATAATATACTATAATATAATATACTGCAATGAGCCCAAACCGTGAAACCTGGAGCATCTGACATCTTGGAAGGAATGTTCGTCCCAGGAGTCCGGCCGGGTGGTGCAACCTGGCACGCTTTCTGGGTTTAGGGTTTAGGGGTTTAGGGTTTAGGGTTTAGTGGGGGTCTTCGGGGCTGCCAGACTTCTCTGGGACTCTGCTAGCCCCAACCCTGCATCGGATGCGCCCGAACCTGAAACAAGCAGTTTGTCCTTCGGCCTCCAAGAGGTCGCAAACGAAGCACCGGAAAATCCTCGAGCGCCCGTCGGGCTGCGCGCTCACCCGACTCGCCACCTGCGGTTCAAGGCTGTCCGGAGTTGCGGTTTGGGGTCTGGGTTGGGAGTTTGACACTGTGGTGTTCGAATGCAAGATCAGGGCTTGGTTGGTAACCCTAAACACCAAGCATGGATTCCCGGTGTTGGTTGCAGGCATCCGGCTGTGGGGTCGTTAGGGAAGCACTGCTTCGAGAAGTCAAGCACGTTGCAGGGCGACGGCATGGAAGGCTTCGAAGCTCTTGGATTTGAGAAGACGGACTTCTGGCTGCTTAAGAACCGTGTTTTGGCTGGGGTCTGACATGCAGGTTTCAAGGCCCCGCTCACCTGATGATGACTCTAGCCAGTGTGGTAAGCCGGGCTCTGAAGGCGAGGGCTATCGCCACAACCGGAGCCCCGGGCGCCTGCCAGGCCGCTGTGTCCGGGGGTGGCGGAGGCGGTAGATAAATCGGTCTCTCGACCTTCCCAGTCCCAGGAGATGTCCAATGAGCACATGAACGGAGGAAGGCTTAGTCGTCTCTTGTTTTCAAGGCTGCATCTTTTAAGTCGGTCCTAGTGTAGGCTCGCGTATGCTCGAACGGAACCTTTGGAACGAAGGCAAAAGCAAAGTTGCTCGAACTTTGAGTGTTGCCCGATCGGCTGTAGCCAGACCGTCGTCGCATGCGTTTCAAAACTCGTGTCGACGAGAGAACTGCGGGAGTTTCCTGGTAACAAGACCCTGGGTGTAGCCATAACAGGTGGCGCCCCTGAAATGCAAACAGGATCCGGGCCCCGAGATGTCACAAAACAATCACACCCAGCAGCTCTGCTACGCAGTGCTGCAGTTGTCAACCTCCTGGTGAACCGTTGAAGTTGGAGTACCAGGATTTCGAAGTATCGATGCAGCTCCTAGTATGCCGGGGGCTTTCCTAAACCAGGTTCAAAGACACAAAGAGTCAGGCAATGGCCCTTTGTTTCTACAGAGCCAAGGCGTCCAGACCGCCAGCAGTTCTGCAACATCTCTACCTTTGTAAGTGTGCTGCCAGCAACGTGCACCGAATAACCGGGATGAACCTCAGCCAGAGCTCATTCGATGCAGAATCGTCTGAAGAAGCAGGTGGGGACGGTCCAGATTCCAGGGACTCTAAAGACTCTAAAACCCTCAAACCCCAAAGTCTACAAGTATACAGAATCTCTGAATCAAGAAGCCCCAAAAAATGTAATTTAGGCCGGAGCCATTGGACAGGACCGATGGGTTAGGCTTCGGGCGGTGTTAAGGTTGGTACCTGAGGGCATCGCCCGATAACATCGTGGCTTGAACATCTACAGTGCGTGGCCTTAGTCCTTAGAACTGTTCAAGAAGGCTGCTGCCTGGCCTGTTGCTATTGAAGACTTGCCTGGACCTGATGTTGTTCGGGTTTTTCGGGTACTGCGCTTCGGCTTCATCTCAGCACTCCTTAACACCTACGCTACCAGTAGGGCCTGCGGGCTTTGCATCCAGGTCTCCGGATTGAAGGCATCTAGGGCTTAGGATCTTCGTCTCGGATGTCAATTTTGCAGCAACTGCAAGACCGGAACTTCGAAGCACGTTGTCCGAGTTTCAGAGCAAAGCCCCAGCAACTTAGCATTAAGCCTTCGCGCCTGCTTCGGGAGTCTCAGCCCTTGTCACGCTGGTTCTGCAGAGTCAGAATGGCTCCGGGTCCGGGTTTGCAAGTTGGGTTCTCGCATGTTCTGAATTTGTAGCTTTGTCGATTCAGACTTGACACAGTTTCGAGCTGTTGTGGGGGTTTCAAGTGCTTGCAGGGTCTCGCATCTCCGTTTGCTAGCGACACCCCGACCTCAGCCCCTCAAATATTCGAACCATAATCCTCAACCCTCATGCCCCATCCAAAGCCCCATAACAAGCCATGCAGCCAGAACAAGTGATCCAAGGCAGACCGCGCCCCGCAAAAGCCCACGGCCAAGAACCTAGGAGTCCGGCATTTCGCAAGCTTCGGGCAATAGCTGAGCTTTCGACCAGAGTTTGTGTCGTGACACACACGTGCCGCGTCGCGTTTTATGAGGTTACGGGTTTACGGCGCCATGGATACGTTTTGGTGCTCCCAGGTCTTTTGACTGTCCGTGTGTCGACAGTGACTCGACGGGCCATCAGCAACAGTCATAGTATTTGGTACCACTGCTGCCGTGGCGACGGCTGCAGCACCAGGAAGGACCCAAGCAAAATTTGGTGTAGCTCTGCCAATGACAGAATTTGCGACAAGGCTGCAACACTGATCTATATGACCCAACGGGACCCAGCCATCGACTTCAAGCCTTCTGCTGTTGACGGAGTGAACGGCTTACTGACCAACAAGGTTGAGCATTCAAGGTTTGAAGCCTGAAAGCGCACATTGTCAACGGAAAGTCTTCGGCAGGGCCTGTCTTTCATGGCATCAGCAGACGGCAACGTCGGAGCCGGAGTTGCTACACTGTGATCATAATGGATGTTGCGCGACAGCGACCACGATCCTGAGAACACAGGCAGCAGCATTGGCAGTAGGAGCAGGAGCGGGAGTAGGAGGAGGACGAGAAGTAACAAGTAGCAGTGGCAGTGGTAGTAGCACTTATTAGCGGTGGTGGTAGTGGTGGTAGTGGTAGTGGTAGTAGTAGCAGCAGCAACAGCAGTAGCCTGGAGACCTAAAGCCGGCGACCCGAGCCCTTAACACCAATTGAGGCCACAAAACCATGCGTCCGAAAAACCCTACCCAGTACCCGCAAGACAACCCTAAATTTGAAGCACCTCTTCCCAAGCCCCCGAAGAAACTCCTCCCCTCCGGGGTCATTGCCATGGCGCAGGCCACATGTCGCCCACGGAGCGAAGGGGACGAACCTGGCAGACTTTCAGAGAAGAGGATGCTGAGGGGATACTGCTAGTGGGAGCTTTTGTAGGAATTGGGCCATGGAAGGTTTAGGGAACTCAAGCCAGGGCTGTTGGGCTACTGTAGGGGCTTCACGAGCAACCTGCAGACCTAGGATGACGCTTGAAAAGGCAAAGAGGCACCAGTGACACGCGACCTAAGCAATGAGTCTTTCTGCAAACCCAAACCCGAAATCGAGAGCTTCCAGGAACTCCCGACGACGCCCCCTAAAGAATCCAATGCCGCCAAGAGGGTTTGCTCGACCCTGAGCTTCCCTTGAAATCTGTGGTTTCAGCCCATTAGCTCTCTTAGGGCCTCATTCTGGTTACTTAGGCCTCATTCCGGTGACTTAGACCTCACTCGGCTTACTTAGGTTCCCGGAAGTTAAAGGGGGAGTGAGCTGAAGCTCTGAGGCCCCAGCTTGCGTCCCAGCTCCCGCTCCGCAGTCACCCGCCCAATGGAGCATGTAGTACCTCACGGTTATGCTCTTATCCGGTTTGCGGTCTAGGGCTTCAGCCCAAAAACATGGGGTTTAAGATAAAGTTCATGGCTTCCTTCGGCAGCTCGACGGTGTCTGGGAGCCGGGGGTCACCAGAGTCAGAAAGCTCCTCTTTTCGGATCTCATCACCGACACGATGTATGGAACTCGCGCCAAGCATAGAAACTCTACTAGGAATGCTCAATTCAGTTTGTCAGAAGTGCGATGCATGTTAAAGACGGTTTCTTTCGGAAAAGCCTGTCTTGCGCAATGGGTCCACCGGGCTGTCGCGTTCATGAAAACAGCCACGAAGGCTTTTGCAATCACGTTCTGCATCAAAGCTGGCCCCAAAACCGGCAAGAGGCCGCTGAAGCCTGGAAGCTGCAACTTGGCGCAGCCATGGACAAGTGCATGGCATTCTTCACTGCCAGAAGCTTCGATTGCAGGGCTAAAAGCCTAAGCCCGAAATGCTAAACACCCTTGCAACCTTAAAGCTGCAGCCACGCGAACCAGGAGTTCGAACTGCAGGCGCACGTGTACCAAAGTGCCCTCCGCTGACTCTTACCATTGCACCATCGGGCAACACCTGGGCCAAACCGCGTCACAATCCCATCTTAGAAACTGCTGGCCAAGTCCTTTTATGTCACCTCCAGAATCGAAACTGGAACAACAGTCACTAAGGATCACCAAAACAAAGCGCAGAACAGCTCCCTTGCCCGGAAACCCTGTCGGTGTTGAAAACAGTCGTAAACCCTTAGACAGGATCCTGAACTCCAACATCCGAAAACTTTATCTGCAGCATGAGAGCTATCACGAGCCTGGGCTGTCAGCCCATCGATGCTCAAGGGCCAAGGGGGCACAGACTTCAGCTGCACGAACGATTCAACCATAAAGGGCACTCAGATCCCGGGGCCTGAAGGGCCCAAGCCAGTGCATCAGGCTTCACCCTTTTTTGTGACGACCGCTAGCATTGGAAGCTACGACTCGATAGATCCTGACTTGGTCGACCTTGACCCGGAAGCCCCTTTTGTTGACCGAATACTCAAACCCCAAGCCGTCAGCAAAGTCCGTTCATTTCTGGGAACCAAGCTCGTGAGGTCTGCGAGCTCCGCCGGGGTGAGGAGGAAGCACACGCCTAAAGCCTGGATTCCAGAAGGTTTTCTGTATGATTCTGTATTTAGACTTTTCGTTCCATGACCGATGAACGTCGAAGTATCAAACTGCCCCCGAACATTTTCACGACGACAGCTCCTCCTGTGTCGCGCTGCTCCTGCTACGGACGCAGACTGCAAGTACTGGTCGAGGCTGCCAATCGTCCCTGTTACCACCACCACAGTGAACGTAATCGCCCTCGGTGGCAGTAGTCAACAAGCACTGACCGTTGTTGCGGTTGCTTGCTGATGCTTCCTGAACCTGGAACTCCCGAAACCCCAAAAACCATGATACACTCAACGCGCGGTAGAAATCCAATGCGCCTCACCCTAAACCCCATGAGCCGGAAGCCCGAAGCCCTAAAGAATCCAACACAGAAGCTGGGGTCTACACATCACCTCGGCGGAGGGCCGCGGCTAGGTCTGTGCCTCACGGGCTCAAGGCTTCTCCGAAGTGCCGAGCCGTAGCAGGGTTTGTGCCTCTTTACAGGGCTCTACAAGTACGAGTCTGTACAAGTTTAGGATTTGGGTATTTAGGGCTTCCCAGAGATGAGGAGCAGGGTTTCCGGTTCAAAGTTCAGGGCGTAATTAGGCCTAGTTGTTTAAGGTGTTTACATCGCGGATCCAGTGCTGGGGCGTCGGCTTACGTTGTAAAGCTTTAGTCGCTCAGGGCTCCCGACTCAGGATCGTGGCAAGTCTTGAGTACAGAAGATTCTGGTTGAGTTTTTGGGGAGTACGGTTTCTGGTTTGGGGCTTTGCTCTCCGGAGGGATTTCAAGACCACAGTCTCGAACGTCTCGTAGCTGCACACGCGACCTCAAGTGGCGAAGTCTGTAGCATGAGCCGTGCACACCCAAATAGTGCAGGGACACTAACGTTTGGACAGGGTTTTGGGGTATTTCTTGCTGTAGTTACGTACGGACTATCAGGCGATTATAGGACTACAGATGACTTCTCATTCCGACTTAAAACTTGTGCTGGATGTCTATCCCTATCCGTGAAGCGAAGGATCCAACAGGATCCAACACCCCCAGAAAGGGCTCTGCACCCGAAACCCGAAACTTCAACATTGCTCGGGGGCAGAAAGCAGTTGCGAGCTCAGAAAACAAGGTACCTTGGACATGCCCCTCAATTGTCGGACCCTTAACTTCGTTATAATGACCACGAGATAAGATATCACCGCTGGAGCCGCCCGCATCCCAATGCCTTTCAGCCAAACCAGGAACTCCACAGCACTGTGCACGCACAAGCGTGGAGGTACATAGTACTCACTATATCTCCCTTGCGTAACTCAAAGGACATTTCTTAGAAAGGACCCAGACTATGAGGAGAAACGTCACGGAGGCCCTGCCTAGCCGTCCACACCGTTCTACCTGACAGGGCGCAAAGTGTATCTTGAGCGTGTGCAAGACAAGGGTTCTAGAGCACGGGGGGCTTCTTAAGCCTAGCGTTTTCAGGCATTTCGGTTGGAGTTTGCGATATGGATGCTTTCAACCTAGAAAATCCCAAGAATTTCAGCGACAGAGTGCGGAACTCCAAGGACACGGGCTTTCGTCCCTCTGAAGGCTAAGAAGGATTGGAGGGCCAGTTTGACTAATCACGAGGTGAGGGGCATTCTCATGTTGGGCAAGTGGAATCTCACGGAGCTTCTCCGAGCAGTGGGCTCCGTCCCTTGAACCCACGAACACTTGGAAGGAATGTAGCGGCGGCGGGGATACTTACTCATTGTGTCTGGCACACCGGGGCAGGACCTTACCCCCACAGATCATTCATTCGTTTGCCGTATGCCATTCCCGGTGTCTGGCATATGAGGCACCAAAGAATGCAGTGGCTTCACAATCCTCATCATCATCATTTCGTTCATCGGCATGCCGCACATGCATGAACACGAAATCCTTAAACCCTGAACATGCCCTGACCCTCTTGCTTCGCAAGAATGGTCGCCTCCTCGGGCATGGCGCCATCTCGGATCCCCAAAAGGGCCCGAACCCCGCGCAGACTGCTGGCGGCTGCGGCAGCGCCAAGGCCGGAATTTCGCCTTTGTGTGCCTAGACTTCTCGTGCTGTTGTTTAACGAGCTGGAGCTTCTCCGAATGATTCCATGCGTCACTGGAAGCCCCCTCTCTCGATGTACCCTCTCACAGAACTGTCTCCGCTCTCCGGGCTTCGGGATGATACCTGGATGTGAAGGCGCGCCACCAGAATTGCAACAGCGGGAAGTTTGAGAACAAGGTCTAGAGAACTGATTGCTCGATACATCTCGATATGGTGGGCCTGCTACACGATCCGGTGCCTTTTTTAGGTTCCTGTCCGAAGGCTTAGGTGGGGAAGGCAGGTCTGACAGACTATACCACCAATGCCAGTATCGCACGCACTATGCGAGTCCGATTTCAGAGCTATCGGGTTTGTGCCCGCCGCCCCCCGCCCGCAATGTCTACCACTCCTATGACTCCTATAAAGTCCTATTGCTTTTTCGCTTTTCGAAGCTCAATGTTCGGCTTGGAGCTATGCTGCGGCTTCACTTCGGCTCTTACCCGGCCGGTCTTCGGCCAAGAGTTTTGTACAAGCACCCAAGAGGCCGCAAGCCTTAAGCCGAAGGTTGTTTAGCACACCGTGCCTTCCGACCCAGACCCAACAACTTCCCCTACGTGCGGTCAGAGCCCGGGTTTCGAGCTCACTTGCACCCGGAGAACTTGAGTCCTGCGGTTTCGTGGCATCACACCGAGCGCTCTACAATCTACAAGGCTGTGACGGGGTCTTGACCGGGTCAAGGAATGAAGAGTGGATGGTTTCGTCATGTTCTGAAATAGGAGTTGTGGGTGGGTGTTATGGATTGCTGTTGATGGTCGGTATTAGCGTTGCGTGAGCCTTAGATCTTAATTCTGTGGAATGCGCCCAAATAGCTATTGTTGCAGAGAATCAGGAAGGTGCTGCGACCTTTCTGAGTCCGCTCACGGTCCTGATCTGATCAGCTGAGATGCCTGCGAAGCTTTCCATCTACGCAGGCGACGACATCGTCTCCAAAGCCGCTCTCCTGAACACGGCTGACGCACCATGGCGAACACATACATACAGATGTACGTACGTACACAGGTACTTACGTATACGCACGTGTTCACACGTACATACGTAAGTAAGTGCGTACATACATACATACATACATACATACATACATACATACATACACACATACATACATACACGCATACACGCATACATTAGATTACATTAGATTACATTACGTTACATTACATTACATTACACTACATTACGTTACATTACATTACATTACATTACATTACATTACATTACATTACATTACATTACATTACATTACATTACATTACATTACATTAAATTATCCACATACGTACATATATGCACACATAAATAAATAACTGTACATTTACACATACTGACAAACGGACAGAAAGACATTCAGACATGCGTGATCATCCATGCATGCATGTGCGCGTGCGTGCGCGTGTTAATGCATATATGTATATGAATCATGACAACACATGTGCACGCATGAATACATGCCATACCTGCGTACATACTTGGTCTTACTTGGTCAGCTGACCAAACCGTTAGTTGTGAATCATTCTACTACAGTTTACCTGAGAAAACTATCTACGCAGTCGAGCTTGTTGTGTACATGTGCGGGTCTATGGTCAGATCATTGTATGTTGGCAAAGATTGGAGACCCATGGAAAGGGATCGCATGACCCATGGCCGCACGATATCTTACACATTTTGCAACATACTACACCAGGACCGAGTACTGTTTTATCAGATTATCACAGTAAATGACATACAACGCATAATCTGGAATCTAGAACAGCAAGCGTAAACTACGCCGGCCTCGATCTCGAGAGCAAGGCGGTTCATTTCAAATCGCGGGGTGCGAGTTGCTGCTAACTGGAATCAAAACTCCTAACTATACTGGCAACCGCTCTCCAACAAGGCAACTAGTACTGTGGCCGCGTGGCGGAGTTCGAAGAGCGCCGTGGTTGGTGGAGAGACCAAACTCAGGTCCAACAACTTGAGGAATTGGATGGGAGATGGGAGAACATACCAAAGTCTTGAGGGCTGTAACGGTTGTCTCGGATCATGGGCTCCGGGACAATGTCAAGGCCGTTTCATGGTTGGGGTCTCGTGCTTAAGCTTAAAGTTCAGGGTGCAATGTTGAGGGTTCAAACTCACGTATCACGGGGCGAATTCGCCGACAGCTCGGTGCTGCAAGCGGGCCCCGTCACCATGGGTAAATGCACACCGTCGCAAGGTGGATACAAAAATGGGTCCTCGCAGTTGTGTTCTTACTGCAAGTTGTTGAATGATGATGGACATGTGAGTGTCTCTGAGGGTTATGGATGTTTTCGATCTTGCAGGGTCCAGGATGTTCCGGGCACTACTCGATTTGTGAATGTCATCCTCTGCGCGGATGCTAACATCCTCTGTACCGTTCCAATCTTATCGGATGGTTCCCTTAAACTTGAAGATTAGGGTTGGGGGTTTCAGTTGTAGCTTTTCGTTTGTTTTCGAGAATATGGCTGGCTACAAGGCAACACACCAACAACAAACGAAGCTCCCAAGGCCACATATATATATATATATACATACATACATACATATATGTATGTGTGTATATATATCTATATATACATGTATATCGCTGATTAGTAGTTTAGTGTAACAAGTAGCAGTATACAGCAAATTTTGCAGTAGAAGTAGTACAGGTAGCAATGGAAGAAGTAGGAGCAGGGGGAGGTGGAAGAGGAGGAGAGGCAGGAGCAGCAGCAGGCGAAGCAGCAGGCGAAGCAGCAGGAGCAGGAGCAGAAGCAGGAGCAGCAGCTGCGGTGGTAGTCGTGGAAGCAGTAGTAGTGGTAGCAGTAGTAGTGGTAGTAGTAGCAGCAGCAGCAGCGGCAGTAGCAGTGGCAGTGGTGGTAGTAGTAGTGGTCGTTACAGTAGAGGTAGAAGAAGGAGGAGAGGTAGTAGTAGTACCCATGCGCGCCTCCTGGCGCCCGCTAGTTTTTTCTGTTTTCGAGCGTTTCGGGTGTGTTTAGGGGGGGGGTGGGGGCGGGGGGGCTAATAGCGACATAGTTGACACACCGGTATTTTCCCGCAGCCGCGGCAGTAGCAGTGCTAGTAGCAGTCCTACTAGCAGTCCTACTAGCAGTAGCAGAAGCCGTAGAAGAACTTGTAGCAGTCCTAGTAGCAGTAGCAGT